TACCCATGCAGCCAAGCAGAACGGCGGCAGCGCGTTGAAAGCAAAATAAATTAAAAAACCAACGGGCCTGCATGAGTGTGCGTGTATGCATGAGCGCATTACGTGTGTGCCTCGTGGGGGGGGGCGAGGGCGACAGTCCGTGCAGGAGGGCACACACAAAAAGAGAGAAACGAAGGGACGGACGAGCTGCGCACGGCTCCCTCACACCGCCGTCATCGCAGCGCCTGCACACGCAAGAAGAAGCAGCGCAAGGGGGGAGGTGCAGTGCGAGGCCGCTGTGCCACTGTCACTGTCGTCATGCGTCGCCTTCGTCGCATTAGTGGCGGCGACTGGCAGTGCTGGTATTTCTGCCTTCCCACTGCCAGTCGGTGTGTTGGTGGCGGCTGGCGGTGCTGCCGAGCCTCTCGCTCTGTCAGCTGCCGTAGTTGCTGCGCTCCCCGATGCGTCTCGAAGTTCCGCGCTCGCGTCGTTCCTGCCTGCTTCCTCAGTGGGTTTGATGGCGTCCACCCTGTCGGCGTCACTCGTGGCACTGCCCGGCTCTTCAGCTGCAGTGCCACCGTTGCCGCCAGTAGCCGTATTAACGTCGGCGCCCCTCCCCGCTCGTTTTGCCGCCTCCTCATCGCCAGCTGCACTCTCACGCTGGATATCATCTTGTTGTTGACTCGTACCCTCAAGCAATTGCATGGCGTCGAGATCTTTCGCAGCGGGCTGTTCAGCCTCATTGGTGACAGTAGCACCGCCACCTGCAGAGCGAGTTTGCTGCGCCTCTCCCGCTTGGTTTCCATCTTGTGTCTTCTGATTGGGACGTGGGGTGTCCACAACTGCTTTCTGTTCGTATTCTTCATTTTTTTCTCCCATTGGTAAAGTGCCGTGGGAAGTCATCTTTTCTCCGGCGCCCTCGGCCTTTCCAACTGGCGTTGTCGACGGTAACTTTTGTGTTGTAGACGGAGGCTTTGCAGGGTTCCCTGGTGGTTGTGCTGGAGACCGTCCTTCCTTCCCTTCAGAATTACCTTCTTCCCTTTTTCTGGGTCCATCTTCACCGTCCTCATTTAACTGTGAACTCTCTTCCCCTTGTAAATCTGGCAATGACACGCTGCTTTGCTTCTGAGAGACACGGGACGCTGCGCCCCCCGTTGTATTATTCCTAGCAGGGCTGCTGTTCTGTGGCACACCGCCTGCACTGCCAATGCCCGCATTTGCCCCACTTTCAGCTGCAATGCCCGCCTTCTCTTGGCCCGCTGCCTTCTCACTCGACGGCTGTCCGGTAAACGGAAGCTGCGAGACCGTGTGTGATCCCGCAGGAGTCGCACCCGGGACACCAGCGCCAACAGCGGCACTGTCGCCAGTAAGGTGCGAAAAGGCAGGCAGACTGGAGTTGTGCTGAGCCTGGGAAACCATAGCGCCAGAAGCAGAATTACGATTTTGGGAAGCTGCAGGGTTTACTCCATCATTGAGAGAGGCACCAGGAATTCCTGCTGGTGAATGCGCAGCGCCGCTTGAAAGGGGCTGCTTCACAGAAGCACAAGCTTCAGTTAACTCACGAGAGACATCCCCACCACACGGCGCAGGAGGAGTTCCAGCAGAAAAAGAGATGGTCTCACCCGAAGCAACAGGAGTGACTTGACGAGATGCACCGCCATCATTCCAAACTCCACTTGAAGGTGGTGCTTGTAAAACGTCTTGAGCCTCACCAAAAGTTTCATCAGCCATATGAGGATGACCGGCAACACCCACAGTGCACGGCACACATTTCGGTGACTTTTCGGACTCAGGCGCATCACGACCCTTCGCACAACATGGGGCAGAAG